CATGTAAAGTGAATATAAAGTCTTAATAAAATAGAAATAAACTATAATATTATGTCATTATTTTAATAAAAAGGAATTTGAATATAATGACTTCTAGAAATACCTCTGTACTGTAGTTTTTTTCCATAATGTTTTTATACTAATAGAAAAAAACTATAAAGTTCCTGTTTTCAGGATATCTACATTAAATATAAATTGGATACACGTACATGCTCCTGCTAAAACAGTTTAAGAAATATATTTTTATTTTATTATATTTTTATATTTTATTAATATTTTAAAAATGACACGCAATAAAATATATATTACGTGTGAATGAAATGAGACATTTTACAGTAAATTTGAATGTATTTCAAAAAATGGAAAAACTAAATATTGTACAGATTACATTTAAAAATGGGAAACATATTAACTAATTTTGTTATTCAAATATTAAAAAATACCTGAACAAATATGGCAGGGATTGACCAATGTTACAATGAGTATGTCAACATATTATACAGTCGTGACCAGAATATTACTAATTGAATTTTGAAAATGCCGAAATCCAAAGATTTACATTTTAATTTACTATTTATTAATTTTATTGCTTAAATTTTTTTTATCTATTGCTTCATCCGCAGCTGACGGAGCTGAACACGTTTTTCCTCAAGCACATCTTCGTCTTTCCTGCCAGTCACGCTCTGAGCTGGTGTAGAATCCTCTTCATCGGTATCATCACAGCACCAACTGTGAGGTAAAAGAACAGTTATACAGTTAAAATCATGTGTTTGTGTTAGTGTTTTTTTTTTTAAATCTTATTCGTACCAGACCGGTCTGTTTGTGTGAAGAGCAGTTGAAGTTTATTGATTGTTTCTTTTGCTTCAGGCAGTATTACGCCTACCTCACAGACACACAGTGTAAGAGAGTTGGGACCCAGTGTTGGGTGTTTGGGTAAGTGCAGTCTTACACAAACAGTGTGTACACATGGTTTCCATATGCAGAGATTTTTCTTAGATCTATTTTTTTTCTCCCCCTCAGTTAAAATTGATGTTGGCTGCCCACGGGTCAGAGGTTTCAGCTGTGTGTGTTTTTGTTCTCAGGGCAATCGCCTTTCTGGAGGCCCTGGCGTGTATTAAGTTTGGACAGGACTTGTTCTCAAAGACGCAGATTCTCTATGTGATCCTTTGGCTTCTGTGCCTGGTAAGACCTCAATTCTACGCTCCTCTGTGTCAGAGCCCCTTCTCACGGCACTTGGGAAATATATCTTTTTAATTAAGTTGAAACATTATTTGCTATGGTGTTAAATATATGTTATTATTACCAATATATTATATCAATACTAACTATTTTTGGCCAACATCTGGTTATTTATTCCTAAACTTTAAGTAGCATAAACAAATAGGATCTGCCAAAAAGTTTTTTTTTTTTGTTTTTTTTTTAAGTAAAACCTTTTTTCAACATTTTATAAAATAATTTAATGAATAAAAAAACGTTGTGGTCTTTACTGTTTCAGGCCTTCATTACATTCCTGTGTCTGTACGTTATGGTGTGGTATGCAGAAAACTATGGTCCAAGAGAAAAGGTATGTTTATTATAGTACTGTATGTAGTACTTAATGTCGGGAAGTATTTCAGCTGCTTTTGTGTGTGTAGTGTAGACCATGAGAGAGGAGTTTTATTAATATTGATTAAAGCAGATGTGTTAACAAATAGTTAATTCTACAGCCAAGAACATGGAGGCTAGGAGAATAATACCTGTCAATCAAAGTTCTTCTATCTTTGTGTCTGTCAATCGTGTGTGTGTGTGTGTCTTGTGTCTGAACCTCCTCTCAGTTCCTCTCAGAATGCGAGGATAGTAATTACACAGAACCTGCCGACCAAGTGTCACCAGCATATAAAGGTAAAGACACACACGTTTACATCACATACATCACATTTACTCAAAGTTTTTTGTAAACTTGGCCCGGGGTTAGCCTGTGAGCAGCCTGTGGGCAAATACTTGCATGATCAGATTGCTCAAATACCATGACCTCATTTATAAGCTGTCATGGAAAGTTCTAAAAAAAACAAAGGGTTGTTGTTTGGCACCCTTGACTATAATAGGTTTTTTTTAGGGCTGGAGTCTAGCAGAAATTAGAATGTTTCATTTTCTTCTGTAATAAAGCTTTGTCTGTTTAAACAAAAATAATTATACTTTAATTAGAACTTGATGCTCACTTTCCAGGAGACAGTGACACATACGAAGACAGTCCTACAACCAGACACAGACGTAAAGGCTCAGAAAAGACCAAGACCATCAACGGCATGGACAGCCAGTAGGAAACTGGCCAGAGATTGGTGGGTGACCTCTGAACTCCCCCCAAGGGATCCAGTGTGAAGGATCACAGGTTTAGTAGGGGGTTTAAGTTGCAGCCACTTCTTGGTATAAATGAAGTCCAGAAAGCCCCTGTCTGTAGTCGAGGGGGAGGAGACGGGTGGGACATTAGTGAATTAACAGGTCCGTGCTGCATTATTAGGAGTTCACTGAGGCGTGGACTTCAGAGACGCACGGTCAGCCGCGTGCTGTAGTCTTTTAATGTTCCTGAACCACTGATCACAGGTTGGTGTGACAAGAGAAATGACGTAGTGTGAGTGGGAGAAAAGGAAAATAACAGTAAAAAAAAACAGCCTCTTGTACATGACACTGCATGATCATTGTATCCGATGGAGTAAACTTTACATTATCCTACAATATTGCACCTACCTACAGTATATTAGTACACGTGGCTGGTTTTAACACCGGCTCTATCTTCAGTATGTTGCTCCTGTTTCTATTTCAATGTTAAAAGCCATGTTTGTTTGTAGCACTAAAATGTCTCTTTTACTGTAACAGATTGTCGATTTACCTTGTTAGGTGTTTCTTTTTATCAATGCAAGCTTACGCTCCACTGGATTATTGACTGAATTTTGATTCAACCCATCACTAGGCAGTGCAGCCACTTTTCCAGGATATTTTCTTGATAATAGTGTTGGGATATATTAGGAATCAATGTGACATTTGGTTAAAAAAAAAGTTTTAATTCTAAAATGTCCATCTGCTATTGGCTGCTATTTTTCCACTGTAATGGCTCCAGCCGGTGTGTTCTGGCTCTCGCAGCAGTGTGCAGTTGGTTTACTTTTATGGTTGACCCTCACCCCTGTGTATAAGTTTCACTTTCATGGCCACGTCAAGTCAAATTGTCTTGTTTTTGTGAAGTAAATTGTTAACGGTTGTCACCTGAATTTGTATTACACGACACTGGGACTCTACTGTTATTCTCTGTGTCTTTCACTGTAGCTGAAATGTGTCTGTGTGTCTGGTATTCCCTTGTTTTTCCTTTTTCTAATCTTTGTACGTTCTTTGTACATTCAGGATCAGGTTTGATTCCTCTGCCCTTTTGCTAGTATCCTGGTACAGATATACTAACCACGACAGTCCTTGACAATCCAGACACCAACCTTTGTGGAATGGACCATGCTACAACTTTAGACACTATAAAAGGTACCTTATCTCTGGCCGAACTTTCCAAATGCAGTCCAACAGAAAATGTCCCGCGCTGTTCTCTATTCACTGTGAAATATTGAAACACATTAAAATGTTTTACATTTTGTTCGAAAATGTAAGTGCATTGTTTATTTATTTACATACTGTATATTCTTTGTGCTATCTGTAATGTCACATCATTTTTTATTTAGGCTACTGTAAATCCTACTTTGGCTCAGAGTCACATGTGAGCTGTGCTTTGTTTAACCTAACAATAATCTGAAATGATAGATGTCCTTGTTTGACCTCTGTAGAGCAGTGTGCTGCAGCAGAGCAGTGCCACAGTGGCTGACTCACACACACATATCAGATTTCACTCTGTCTGCACACCACACCACACCACACCACTCGTACTGAAATAGCTGCCTAATAGGCCGTAAGGTGAACCACGAAAAGTCCTCTAGAAATTGAATTCCGCTCCGACGTCTATTCATGAACGAATGAATAAAGTTGTCATTGATTACTTCCTTTTATTGATCAAAATTACTCAAAAGAGAAAGTTCACCTTATCGTTTATTTGCCTCTATTTGTGGCTTTGTATAAAGCACTGTTCAGAATCCATTTGGCCCACATTAGAAGAATTCCTCTCTATCGGTAACGTTAAGTAAAACCATGGAGGCAGCCGTGTTGCCGGAAGTGTTGACATCAATCAGCTACTCGATTGGTCTATCACGATCACGTGTCAGACCGTGCCACCGCTCGCGCACCAAAATCTTATTGCGCACTGAAGACGCTAGTGTTTTATAAAATGCATCGATATAAAAAACGGGCAGGATATTTTGCGACGAACTTTTTGCGGTAAGTTTAACGTAACTCGTTCTTTTTTATGAAGTTGAGATCGTGTAGTTCCCAGACGTCGGAGCGAGATGATAAGACGATAATCGGATTCACCTTGCGGCCTATAATGTTGAACTACTACAACTTGTGTTTTCTAGGTACAGATGAAGTGATGTGAGTCCTAAATTTTTCTTCTCAAGAAAAAAAGATTTAAAAATATGTTTGAAGACATGTTGAAAAATACCTTTCTGTTTTAGATTTTAATGGAAATTGTTTTGTTTTTTAAAAAAAAACTGAACGTGTTGGTACAAAAACAGCCGCTGTGCCTTAATTTAGTGACCAGTAGAGGGCAGCGGAGAGCCACAGGGTTGTGCAAGACAGCCGTGTCACGTGCTTTGGGCCTTAAGCACAAGCCGTGAGTGTGCAATTCTGTATTAGCTCTCTCCTCTTTAGCTCGTTCTTCCTTTGGAACTACCAAAGCTGTCGCTAAGCTAACTCCAGGTTTGTGAAAATCAGGAAATATTTAAATCATGGCCACGAATCCTGACCCGCAACAATTTCAAGCCTGTCTGACTCCTGAGGGTGTCCTGAGAGATATCCAGATCAATCTGCTGGAGTGTAAAGTCTGCTTCGAGAAGTTCTGCACTCAGCAGAGGGGACGCAGACCTCAGAACCTTTCCTGTGGCCATGTTCTGTGTCTGGAATGCATCAAGACTTTGTCCCACCCTCTTCTGAAGATGCTGGAGTGCCCCTTCTGTAGACAGCTGTGCAGTGCTGACAGCACCTCCCACTGCCAGGCTCTCTGCGACCTCCAGGAGCTGCTCCTGTCATGGAGACCCGAGTCCTCTGCTCATCCTCACAAAGCAAAACAAAGTGTTTCATTGGCTGCAGGAATAAACTCCACAGGTCTTAGCTTCTCTGCAGCTTTCGGCAGTTGGGGGACTCTCATCAACCCTACTGGAATAGCAATCCTAGGGTCAGCAGGTACAATATTCGTGGTTCACGGTGGAGAGAAAAGGGTGTTGGTGTTCAACACTCGGGGCAGAGAGCTGAACAGTTTTGGACCGAGCGGTAAAAGCAGTGAAGAAGTGTGTTATCCTGTAGACGTAGCGGTGACGCTCAGTGGTTACGTGGTGGTGACTGATGCAGGGGATAAATCTGTGAAGATCTTTACCTACAGAGGGAAGCACGTGTTGACGGTGAAGGAATCCTTCCAAATGCCCTGGGGCGTGGACACGGATTGCTCTGAACACATACTAGTCTCGGACACCTTGGCAGGAACTCTGTCTCATGTCAGGGTGGACGTAGGCCTTGGTGTTGTCGTGGACCATCGTGTACCAGTGTCTGAGCTGCAGCATCCAAAAGCAGTGGCCTGCTGTCAGGCGTCAGGGAACATGGCAGTGATTGAACACTGCAGTGATGATGACCATCAGCCCGTCACACACCATCACCACCACCACCACCACACCAGGCTGAAGGTGTTCTCCAAAGACTTCCATCTACTTTATGAGACAGACAGTTTCAGACTGACCATGCAGTCCACGCTGAGGTTGAGGATGTCCAGTGTGGTCTTTGACGGTGGAGATCTGCTAGTGGCCGACTCCACAGAAGGGATGATCTGGAGTTTGAGGAGGCTACAGGACGATCTGCTCCTGACTCCTCTGGTAGGAGACCGCCTCACACGTCCAGTTGGACTGGTGTCCTTCAATGACACACTCCTCGTTCTGGACGCTGGAGACCATACAGTGAAGATTTACTGTCCTGAGTCTGATGTTGGATCCAAGCATCCATCTTTTAAAAGCTCCTAAAAATAAATGTGACAAGTTTGAAGATTAATAATCTTGTCTTTGTGGTGTTTTTCCTACGAATTTCAATGTGTTATTGTTTTGTTTTGTTTTGTCCGTGTACCATCAGAACCAGGAAAAGTCCCTGGAACAAATGACGTAAAATATAGACGCGGTTTAACCGTCAAACCGTCACACTTCAGGTCTCAGTTTTCTTGCTTCGCCCGTTCTTCTTTTGTTATTGTACATCATTTCTCCATTTAAGGGAAACAAAACTGTGGTTGTGGAGCCGTGATTGTAGACATTCCTTCGCTTCAATGACATCACAGCCAAAAAGACTAAAAAGTCCAGAGAGAAGGAGTCGGCACCAAGGACCGGAATCGTTTCTGTGGAATCCCGTGTTTATATTTGTATCATACAGTCTGTCATTGAAACACCTTCCATTTCCCCCAGACTCTGCTCACCATTAGGGTGTCATTTATCATCCCTGTCCCTCCACCTCCCTGTCCCACCCATTTACCTCCCTTCTTTTTTCTTTCAGACTCCCCCTCTCTCCCTCTGACTCAGCTTTACTCTCTCCCCCTCTCTGTTTCCTCTCCCTGACTCAGCCTCTCTTCCCCGTTTCTCTCATTCTCATACTCGCCCTCTCTTGCACTCTCTCTCTCTTTGACTCGTCCCCTCCTTTTCTCAGTGTCTCTCTCCCTGACCCACCCTTCTTTTCTACTTCCCCTTCTCTGTTTCCCCTTTCCTCCTCCTTAATCTTTCTCCCCCCTTTCAGCCTCCCTGCTTCTATTCCACTCCCACTTATCTCAGTCTCTCTCTCCGGTCTATTAGTCTCTTTCTCTCTGTCTTCCCAGCTCTTTCGAACTCCCCCTTTCTCTCCCCTTTTCCCCAATCTCTATCTATCTTCCTACCTCCTCTCCTCTATATTTCTCTCCCCATTTCTTCCATCTCCTCTCTCTTCCTCCCTCTCAGACTCACTTTTCCTCTGTCTCTTACTCCCTCCCTCTCCCCCTTCCCTCCCCTCTCTCTCTCCCTCTCTCTCCAAGCCTCACTCTCTCCCTGTGAGCCTGAGGATGGCAGTCGTGCTCCCAGTGGAAGATGGCGGTGCTGGAGATGCTGCCCGCTGACTATGGAGCCGGAGACTGGATTATAATTTTCAGCAAACTGTGGCTGGATGTACAGATGAAAAATGGACACGTCTCCGTCTGTTCCCCCGGAGCTCTGGACTCTGTTGGAACGGTTTAAGTAGAGTCTACTGTCCGTGTTTTAGCTCGACAGAAGCGCAGTGCTGTCGTCGGGGGTTCGGAGCGAAAGCTCGGCGCACACAGGCAGACAGGGTGGGAGTGAAAAGTGGACAAAAATGTCGGATACAAAGGTAAAAGTTGCGGTGAGAGTCCGGCCCATGAACCGCAGGGGTAAGTGTTACTGACCGAACTACGGTTTGTTGACTTTTTGACACTTTCACAAGTTTTTCTGTCTTATTTCTTCGCCATTGCTGCTGCTGCCGCCGGTGCTGCAGTCAGTCTGGAGTGTAGTCTAAACCAGGCTGGGATATTATCCCCCTTTTTTTTAACTTTTCACACCCCCGCACTTAGCCTCACTTCACCCAACAAACTTCTTTCTGCAGAAATGGAACTGAACACAAAATGTGTCGTGGACATGGAGGACAACCAGACTGTCCTGCACCCTCCAGCCTCCGGTGCAAAAGGAGAGAACAGGTAAACAGTGCTGAAATACTGCCAACACATAAACCATGTCTATGGAGGGTTTTTTTAACATTGCATTACATCATAATTATTAACAAAAAAAATGAAGTTGTTTCCTTTTTCCCTGGGAACGATCTGTGCACTTGTATTATTAGGGGTCAGGGTGCAAAAAGGGCAAATTGCAGTGTCACTGTCTTAACTGTATCCCTCGTTGCACTGTAATACAGTCACAGTGACACTTAATACAGTCCACAACTGTTTATTCAACAACCTCCTGGTTACCAGCCCAACCCAAACGTCCAAACAAACCTCATGTCACATGTGGACGAGTTCAGTTTCAGAGCAGTCAGAATCTCCATGTTAATTAAATGCACTACGTGAAAAGGAAAAGAGTAATCACTCACTGCTGCTGCTGCTGCTGCTGCTACGGACAGGACATGCCGTCTGTCATCTGTTTGCAACATGATATTATGTTATGTAATTCACGTGAACTTTCCAATATTGCTCCAGTGTGTTAGTATCAACACATATGTGCTGCGTGACATGGACCGTATATGAAAAAACGGATGTAGCTGCTGCTGAAGTCTCAGAGAAAGGCCAGAGGTGAAAGCTAAAGTAATAGTGTGATTAAATGTCTTCAGGGAAGTACTGTATGGGTACTTGGACAGAGCTGTTTCTGTTTTTCTGGTTGCAGTTCATTGGCTGTAAGTCCATGCAAAAACTTCTCAGGGCAAGAACACCTTGATCCTGACAGTGTTGATTGCAAGATTTGAGTTTTTCGTTGTCGGAACACGTTTGTGTTTTTTGTAAATGACCGTTGCATTTACTGAAAATAGACATTAAAGTTTGAGAGGGCTGGTAAATATGAGTGAAGTCAGCAGTCAGCAACATTTAGACAAACCCAAACAAGGTGACGTCAGAGGAGAAAAACACGGGGAAGAGGACGTGAAGCTAAAAAAAAAAAAAATCAAGTGAGAAGTCAGGCAGAGAAGAGCAGCTGCAGATGTCTGCTGAACTGTAAATGTCAGGCACATTATGGGATGTAAAGGAATAGTTGATCAGAGCGGAGAGAGATCATTAGATTCCTGACACGTGAAGTAGCAGGTGTTGTCTTCTGAATATCATGATGGTTTTTTTAAATTATTATTCAGTCAATATAAAAATAGACATAACATAAAAAGAAAATGACTAGTTGACAGTTTGTTATTGACAGGTAAATAGTGTTTAGTTGACAGTTTGTTATTGACAGGTAAATACCGTAGTAGCTGTGTTACAGTAGCTTTATTGGCAGTACAAGTACTGACTACTAACTATTTATTCGTACATCTTAAAAGTCATTTTATTTATAATATTTACTGTGTGTCAATCCCTTGTATATTTTCTCCGGTTGTGTATATGTGATGTTGGCTGTTGGTGTTCAGAAAAGTTGCTGAACAACAACTTAAAAAGTGTATTCATACTGTGTGATTAAATTAATTCAGAGCCTCAGGGTGTTTCACTGCAGACCTCTGCAGTCTGGACTCATTTCACCTGCGTAGCATTTGGAGCCTGAACCAATCACATCTTGGCTCTTTGCTTCACAAGATGCTTTTCACTGGTTATTCAATTTGTGGAGTGTCATTCACAGCTACATATGTGGAACAGGATACGTAACAGTGGACCAATAAGCTGTTGTGGCTGTTTTTGCTCCTCTAATGGCCTGAAACTTTGAAGACAAGTTTTTTTATCTGAGCGATTTCATAGCTACATTATAAATCTATGCTGTGAGCTGATCCTGTCCCTCCCCCCACCCTTTACTGCTTGTACTTGTTAGGCTTTGAATGTAGTTCAGGTTGTCTGACAGAGTAAGGGGCCCATTACTTTCATACAACAAGTTTTTTTTATATGTACGACTGCACGCTCTACCCTATTATTCGGGGACTTTTGGCCGCATTTAGCTTTTTTTCTTTTTAAGATTTTCCTGACAATCCAATCAACACAAAAACTTGTTGTTTTAAGGTTACTAATAAAGGACACCTTCCTGATGTTTTGATTACAAACTAATTTCTAAATTGAATGGTTGATAATGCATGAGAAGAACAGCGATATTAAGTCCAATTGTCAAGTGATTTCCAGATTAATCACCTAAAAGAAGCCATGATTTTTTTTTTTATCAAAAAAGACCTAAATCTGGCAATTGAGAGTAAAAGATTGTCAGGGAACTGTTCCATGACTTTCTAAATGTAGTAACTTTCACCATCATAGAAAGCAAGGAGGTCGTGCTGCCAATTTCTTCTATACGATCTATGGCATTGACCAAAGTTTTACAATGCCACACTGTTATTGTACAGTGTAGTCCTACCATGCAATTACTTGTTAACATTTCACTGCAGTGTGTGTGTGTGTGTTTGGCTTTCTGTGTTTAGGCTGCATTGGTTTTTCTTAAAGCGTATAATTTTCCCCTCTGCTGTTTGTGGAGCCTCATTGGGCCGTAGCCTGCTCACTAAGACTTAGTCCTGTTGTGAAGACACCTGTTCCAGTGAGTTTGATATGTGTCAGATTAGGTGGGTATTAGCATACCAGCTATGGCTGCAGGGCTAAGATCATGGGAACTGTTTCTCTCTCTCATGGGAACGCTCAGGTATATCCTCAGAAAACTTTGCTTAAGCAGCAGATTGTATGATTGAAAACACAACGACCCAGTGGAGCCGTTACTGCTCAGCAATTGTGCTTGGTACTTTTTATTATTACCAGCTAGCGCCTGGATGATGTTTTTTGTTGTTTTAAATTAAATATAGAACTTTATGTGGATTTTAAAATAATGAAATGGTCATTTGTACTAAAATTACTATCCAAATGTTGCCCAACAATTAGCACGCTTCAACCTCGTATCCCCTTGTTTTTAATGAGCCTAGGCAAACAGGGTGGGAATGTGGGGTCCACATGCGGACTGGAAAACGAAACAAGGGTTTGCAGACGTGAAATTTAAGAAGCGGGCATGGACTGAAGTAAAACTAGAGCCATCGCCACGATGACTCATTAATCAGTCACTGGAAACATGTTCCTGTGTTTTGATGAGGTTTCTCTTCAGACCACACAGCACTAAAACATGTGAGCCACGTAAAGAATTTGAATGAATATAATGGATTTGTCTAAGCCTCATTCTTTGCACTGCTGAGCATTATGAGTGCACTCGTGACACCCGCTCCCTCCTGCGCTCATATTTCTCTGAGAAATGAACGATAATCTCAGTGGTTGGCCAACGAAACGTAGATTCTGACCTCAGGGCGACAGGTTAAGTTTCCCCGGTTTTATCTTTCATCTTGTCTGTTGAGCTGGCACGAACAGCATATTTGAAATGGGAATCTGGGAAAGTAGTTTTGCTTTCACGCGCCAGTCTGCTCTCCTTCGGGGTTTAGACACAATGGAGTTGGGGGTGGAGTGACAGTAAAATACCTGAGGCTGCTGTCTGCACGGGGGATGATCCATGGAGCATCATGACAAGAAAATACCCTTCATCTCACACACTGGCGCTATATTACATCTATCATGCCTCAGCTTGCCTGTCAATTAGCAACAATGGAATACAAAGCCACTTAGTCTTAAAGGGTCATTTTAAATGTTAGCATACTGGGATTTGGACCCAAGCCAGAGCTTTAGCTGAGCTTTAGCCAAGAGCTAAGCTTTATCCTCGTTTACAGGGAATATTTTTCTTAAAAGACGTTCCCACTATTTTTCATGTATTTAGAGTTAAATGATAACAAATAAGTACATTCACATATACTGTAGATATTCAGTGTTAGTGTTTGATCACTGGATGCGCAACTTTCCATTCCATTCTCTCTGGGTACTCCGGCTTCCCACAGCCCAGAAACATACATGCCCTGATTTGGCTAACCTTTAACCTTTAGAATACAGCAGTAGAGGAAGCTTAACATTTTCTTCTATTGTTTAGAACAGCAAACCATACTGTTGTAACTCCATAACGTATTAATATAGGTTTCTGCAATTGATTATTATTTGTTGAAGTTACATTGTTAATGTAATGTTAACCAAATTACTTGGTGGGCCGCAGTTGGACCCCAAGCCATATGTTCAACACATGTGGTTTAGAAGAAATGCTCTCTCCTGTCACACATTTCATTTCGCTTTATTTTTTATTCTAATTCTGCTTTTTTTCTCTTGACACATCTCCATGTGTAACTGTCCGTTGTAGCTAGCTAAAAAACAGGAGTTGTTACTGAAGAAGACTCTCTGTGGGGATGAAAATGTTCCCCTTGTTCCTATAGCTTTTCTGCGCTCTGTCTTTCAGGAGTATCAGTGGGGGCACTGTCTGTAAGCGAGCCTGTAATTTCCACTCTAATCCTGTCCTTATCACTAATGGTTACAGAAGCTCAATTGGCGTTATCTGCACTCGCCTGTGTTATCTTGCTTACTTGAGTATTTAAATGTGAGTGTGGGTAGCAGGGCCGGGGTAAGGACTGGAGGGTTCTTCCCGTCTTTGAACTCCTGTGAGGAAATCTTCAAGTACGTTTGAGTCATTGATTTCCCTCTCATGTCTCCACGACTGAAATGCTAAACAGGTTTTGTTTAGAGCTGCTGTCTGAAGTCGTTGTTTAGACTGTTGGTGTAACGAAAAATAAGGGATGTCAAAATCAACTTGTTTATCCTTTTCATTTATTTGTATTAATCGTAATAGTTTTAAAAGTTTTGCATTTGAACACATTTGCAGAATGACACTCACTTTGTATTGAATAATTCCAGGTCCGTCCACCTGACACAGTCGGCGAATGTATTGCACCAATTAATTAACAACTAATGATGATTAATTATGTTTAATCATGTTTAATCCACAGCCTCTCTAGAATCAGTCAGATTTAATACATTTAAATTTAACATCCTTCTTAAAATAAAACATGTATTACACGAAGAAACACAAAATAATACATTGTCATTAATGTAATAATACAATATATTTTATTATATTCATTTTAGTGGAATTACATCAGAAAATTGACCTCTGTGTTAAATTCAGTTTAATTAAGATAAAAAGGCAGGAAGTCGTTACTTAACACAGAAGTTCCAAAAGGAATTTACTGCATTTTTTTTTCACTGCAGTTTCTTCCTAGGTTTCCCATTTCTCATTGGTATAATGTGTGTTATAAATCATTAGAAGCTGTAATTATATCAATCATTAACAGTCTGAGTGTGTTTTGTCTACACGTATTTTTTTTTATTACACGGAAAAGCTCATTTCTGTCGTTGTTGTGTCTGCTCCACCCAACCACCCACTCACAAAACAATAGGCACATTTTCCTTCATCCTAAACTTGCAATGCTCACATAAAAGTTTGTGGGTTTTTCTTCCCTTCATTTTCCAGTGCCAGAAAAGTTTTTTTAAGGCCTTACTCTACAGGACGTTTAGTCGTTATCACAGAGTCTCCAAAAGGAAGATGTCAGCGGGTGAAGACAGTGTCCCAGTGCGGACTAATCACATGACTACTGGTGATCCTTCTTCCCCAGACCTCCCCAACACTCCTCCACTAAATGAATGACACCAGTGCTGTGCACAGTGTCTGTCCACAGGAATGTCCCCTTTGTCTTTCCATTGTGTTCCCTGCGTGCCAATAATCAACCTTTCCATGCAGTAAGTTGTTATTCTGCGAGTAGTTGGAAACGAAAACACACAATAGGCCAAACTTTATTCCCTACAAAAAATTAATTCAGCCGTGATTCCCAGACACAGTGTTGTGTGCTGCTGATAAAGGGCATTTATTTCCGCAGGGACTGCTCCCTGTTTGTTTTGAGGGTGGGGACAGTGTTTACATCCCGAGGCAGGATCAAGAAAAGATGGCCTTCTGCCTCTTTGTTAAGTCTCCGCCTGGTTGACTCAGATGTGGCGACTCATTTGGAGTATGTCAAAGTGTGTCAATGAAACTTTCCCTGTATTTCAGATTCTCCTGCTCTTATAAATTGGAGGATTTGAGCAGAGTCTGGTCATAGTTTCTATATTTCACATGGTGTGAGCTCTATTCACAGTATCCTCAACCACTACGTTGGAGTTATGTTATTGTTGAACCTGTTTTACCCTGTTTTACTTGTGGCCTGTGTCCCCCGGCTCTCGTAGTCTCTTGTCCTCCGCAGCCACACTCTTTACACACTAGTGATATGGAGCAAACAGAACAGGCTCAGAGGAGGCGTGTCCTGGTAATAAATGTGTCACTTCAGGTCTTGTGCTGAGGAAGCGTTACCATATTGAACAAATCAATGAACTCACTCACTTATTCCTGGCTTTTAAATAAAACACATAGGAGGAGTTGGAGCAGATGTGGCCAGAAGGACCCTCTAACTGTCTGCCTCTCTCTCACACACTCGTATGTCACCATCAGACACACACACATATCAGCAGACACCAACTGAAGCTGCTGACCGCACCAGTCACACTGTGGTGTCAGAAATGCCAGAGAGGATTCAGTCAGGCCGTCACTGCATCATCTGTGATGGAGGGTTGGAGCTCCCACTCAGAGCTCTGGTCTCCGCGGCCTGTGTGTGTGTTTGTGTGTGTGACTGATGGTGGAGCTGTTTATGACGCCTGTATTGAAATGACAAAGATTGGCTTTCATTTTGGAACTTTGACTCACAAGGAGGTCGGGAGGTTGTCTCTTTTCTGTGTTTATCTCTGTTGCCCGGCGACCGCTGTTGCCAAGATGCTGAGAAGTTCTGGGCGCTTCAGTGAA